AAAAAAAAAAAAAAACAACAACAACAATCTCTCTGCTTCTTTTTAACATTAAGGGTTACAGTAATTTCATTTGCATATGCATAGTAAAGTGACAACAATCTGGCTGAAACAATTAAAATTGCTAGAACAGTCCCTTGCAGCATATTTGGAGAGGAGCTAGAAGTTAGAAAGTTTGTGTGTATAATGTATATTAATTGCAGTCTAATAATCTAGACCAGAGAGCAATAACAACAATAGAAGCTAACATTTATTGAGCACATATTATATGCCAGACTCTGTTCTAGTGTTATATTTCTTTTAGTAGGTTTATTCCTTACCAAAATTCCATCAGCCAGATGCTATTATCTCTCTTTTACAGATGAAAAAACTTAGATACAGAGAGGGCAAATGAATACTTCTCAGTCCCAAAGCTGGTAAGTGGTGGAGCCACGGTCTGAACTTAGGCAGTCTGATTCCAAATCCCATGCTCCCAATTCTATTCCACATTTCTGAAGTAACTATAGCTTTCCATAATATTAGACCCCTTACGATGTTCTGGTAGGTAGGGATTTATAAGTAGGCTATTTAATCATCTTCCTCATTTTATATTTTCAAATGTTCACCTTCAGACCAACTATTTTCAGTATCAGGCAACCATAGGATTCTTACACTTGTTTATGTGCATGGGCACACACATTTACACATGTTATTATTGGCATGTATATACAAACTCAGAGATGTATAAAAGTGCAAATAGATAATAGGTTTTTAAAAATAAAAACAACATAATTTGATTCTTTCATCCCCCTTTTCCTCAATTTTTGGACTAAACCAACCACATCATGTATATTTTCATCATATATATATACATATATATATATATATATATAAGATGAAGAATATATATATATATATGTATTCTTTACACTTCATCTTTACACTTGATATTTCTGTGTTTCAGATTTCTTATACTTTTATGTTACAATAAAATTTCAAGACAAGAAATAGTAATGCATCATCATCAAAACCCATATATAATAGGACAAAAGTAAAGGTCCCCCCTCTTTGCCTTCATTCCTACTCACCCTCCAAAAATAACCAGAATAACCATCCCTTATGTAATCATCAGTGGTATTCATATCCTGTGTTTCCTCTGACTCACTTTTCACATTAGCCTTTAGCCTTATTAGCCTTTTTTCTATTTATCAAAAATGCTGAGCAAACTTCTGACTTGGAGAAGTTTGCACTTGTTTTCCCATCTGAACATTCTCTTTCCAGATACCTTGCTCCTTCATTTTATTCACATTTCTATTTAAACATTACCTCATCCTTGACCACCCTGTATAAAATACCCTTAGTTATTCATAACACTTTGATAAGATTTATTTTTTTCAAAGCATTATCACCACCTGACACTGACACACAAACACACATATGTATATGTGTGTGTGCATACATATGACCTTAATGGCTCAAAAAAATAAATGTGTTAGAGTTCTCTCATAATCTTAAAGTCCTGATGTTCAGAAGTCTGAAATGAGTCACAATGTACTAAAATCAAGGTGTTAGCAGGGCTGTGTTCGTTTCTGGAGTCTCTAGGGGGAAAAGCCACTTCCTTGCCTTTTCCAGCTTCTAGAGGCTGCCCAAAGTTTGTGGCTAGGCTCTCTTTCATATGGAAAGCTGATGGTCAGTCAAGTAATTCTCACACTGCATCACATGAACACTGACTGTTAGGCCTCTCTCTTCCACATTTGAAAGACCCTTGTGATCCCATTGGGTTAACCAGGATAATTTAGGATAATCTTTTTAAGGTCATCTGATTAACAAGTTTAATTACATTTGCAACCTTAATACCTCCTTTCCATGTTACATAATATATTCATAGATAGGCAGAATAACAGCCCTCAAAGAAAGATGTCTAGGTCCTAATCTCCAAAACTTGTGAAAAAAAATATATAGTTTGTGTATGTACTTATTTATTTATATATGTGTGTGTGTGTGTGTGTGTGTGTGTGTGTGTATATATGCACTGTTTGTATATTATATATGTTTAATATACTTATATATTTAATATATTTATATATTTAGCTTTGGTACATTGTATGTTTCTAGTAATTTATTCATATCCTTTAA